ATGTTCCGAATTTATATGAATACGAAATGAAAACAGTCCTGCTGTTCGTGTGGTGACTTGTACATTAAGTTTAGTGAATTATTCATTTTCAAATGGAGACCACTTTACTGAATCTGTAAAACTTTTTTTTTTCAAAAATAATAAAAGCGTATTTTTTCTGTTGTTACCATTTCCTAAATACAGCTTTCTCCCCTCTGAATGGGTAGTAAATTTCCAAAAATATTAAGGAACCTTTTATAGTATATATCATGAATCATATTGCGTGCACAGCTAGTGTTTAGCATTTTGTATCTTTCGTTTGATTCATTATACGAAGTGTTATTGATAATTTTCATTTTCTTTTTTTTTATATAATGATAACAAAAATTACGATTTGGCAAATGATAATTGGCTTAAATCAACCCATTTGTGTAACTCTGTTCTTTGTAGATATGTCTGCATTACCAGTATTTGCTGCTGGCGCAATGGAAAACTGGGGTTTGGTCTTTTACCAGGAAGTATATTTACTTTACAGTCTTCAAGCAGAGCACACTCCAGCGAGAAGAAAGGCCGTGGCACAAGTTGTTGCCCATGAACTCATACACCAGGTAACACATTTAACAGAGTGTATGTAAAATATAAATTAACGCCATGCATATAATAATTATTTATCGATTGTGTTGTTTTTTTTGTCAGTGGTTTGGTAATTGGGTTACAATGGAGTGGTGGAGTCATCTTTGGCTGAATGAAGGATTTGCCACTTATTTTGAATATTTGGGTACACAGTGGGTGGAACCTGGCTTCGAAATGGTGAGGTTAAATTACATTGATGTTCCAGACCTATGTGAATATGTACAGTAAATTTAACGCAACTGTCCCCATTTCATAACTATTGTCGTTTTGTTTGGCAGTACGAACAATTCTTCCAAGCAGGACCGCAATATAGCACATTTGCAAAAGACCAACAGGGTGATTCTCATCCAGTGATAAGAGACGTAGGGAGTAGTGGTAGTATGTTCAGCACTATTACGTATAACAAGGTGAGTGGTGTGTACGCTATCGTCTATTGTAATTGTTATTGTGAAATATGTAGGAATGAGACTTAATTCATTTGTATCAGCAAGCGTGATGTGACATGATACTACATAATTTATATAATAGGGAGGATGCATACTCAAGATAATGGATGGATTTTTGGGAGTAAATCTGATGTTTGAAGGTTTCCGTAATTATCTCAATCAATTTGCCTACGACAACGCCCTCTCTGATGATTTGTGGGCAATCTTAACGGCGGTAAGCAAACATGAATATTTGAACCGTTAATTTATTTGACAATTTATTATTACTTACGAAACGCTAAACTATAAACGATTTACGAATGTCACTTCATTTATTCCACCATCAGGCAGTAGATCTTGATATGGGGGGAAGCATGAAAGATATTCTCGGATATAATATGAAGGAAATTATGGATACATGGACTTTACAAATGGGATTCCCCGTTGTTAATCTCACTCGAACATCGACCACTGCTATACAAGCCGATCAGGGACACTTCTTGTTAGACCCACACGATGTAGTTGAGGATGAAGAATATGGGAATCTGGGGTAAGAAATGACAAACTTTATCTAGTGTTATATTTACAAACTTTAATTGAAACGTCATAACACATCACCACAGCACGAAAGGATAATTCACATGTAATTTTGTGTCTCCTATTTTATTATGTCGAACATACCTACCGAGAGTGCCAGAAAACCGAGTACACCGATGTACATTTATTGTCAAGCATGAATTATTTAAATGGATATGTAGCATCAGTATAAATATGGGGTCCAATATATGGAAACACATCCCAGATACCAGGGCATGATTATAATGGTCAATTTTCAAATACTATTTATTCGCTTTACATTTTTCTTTAGCGCTACCCCACTTCAAACTTGTTGCTCTGTTTCAGGCAAAGACAAGTGTGTAGAATTTGTTTTTTAGTATTGTTTTGTATCACTGCAGGTATGTATGGCATGTTCCATTAACATTCACTCATCAAGGGGAACAATTGTTTCACAATCCAAATATAGACTGGCTTCATCTGACTTCCGGTGAGTACAGGATAACATTAAGACGAGTTAGATGTTACTAAGATATACAGAAATACAGAATCGCTTTGCATTATGAAGTGTGCCAGATAACTTAAAAATCTTCTGCGCCACATGCATAATTGTTTCTATAGTTAAATACGGTGGCATTTGGTGTATATCGTCTTTAAAGTAAATAAACTAAACCATTGCATCGATCCATTTCTAAGGTTTATCTTGGATAATTGCCGATATTTTGGTTTATACTGAATAGCTGCAAAGGAACTGACATGTTCAATAAATATGATTTATTTTAATTCTAATTATACATATTGATGATACGACTTTTTCTCTAATTTAGCGGTGCTGACATTGGATGGCGCCACAGATAAAGATTGGTATATTGCTAATATCAACCAGACTGCTCTGATACGGGTTAACTATGATTTAGACAATTGGGGAAAACTCGCTCAACAATTATTAGTCGACTATAAGGTAAATTATTAATATATTCTATATACTAAACCATGCAATGAACAATAATGATTTTTGGTTCCAAAGTATGTTGTGTTCACCTGCTCAGTATGTGGGGGTATTACTATCGTTTCAGTCATTCTTTGAACGATTATGTTTAACTAACTATTGCTACACTACAGCAAGTTATTATCAATATTGGCGGTAAATCTACAGAATTTGCTTCCAATGTTGTTGAAGTTGTTTTGATACAATAAAGTTTGTTTTGATACATTTGCGACGCACCCAGACTTCTAGTCGCCGTCATTGGACTCACAACGCATTTCAACTCGGACCTGATCGGACTGACAGTCATGGCGGAATACTTATTCAAAGTAGAGTTTGTTTATTATCGGGATACAAGAATTATATTAATATATATATATATCACAAGCTGAGTTTTAGTGATGACTTTGATTACAACAGTTTTATCGACCGCCTCACTAGCGAGACACTATTTTTACGGCAACTGAACGCACTTCGCGTTCAAATTATGGACGAAGAAAATCAGAAATTGGATTTACCGACAAACTATCGATTCAAACAGTTGGTCATCGACAATCTTCGTTCAACTACACCAGGAGGCATAATAAAGTCAAAACTATTCATTCTGTGTGGTTCATCACCTATGATGAAACAGAATGAAAACCAACCGTGTGACCGACTGCCGGCTTATCTACTGAAGCCGGTAAAATGATATCAAAACGGATAAAACTAGACTTTCACTTGGACACACACGCGGTTGCTAGATCCGCTATGGAACATTTTTTGCATATATTATACGCAGTAGATTTTGTCACACCAACCCTTTTCGCTATGTCAGCAAAACATATTCCTTCTAAATACAGATCAACTCTCTTTTCGCGAATCGCAGGTGGAGTCGACAATTGCCGAAAATGTTGATAATAACTTGCTGTAGTGTAGCAATTCTTAGTTAAACATAATCGTTCAAAGAATGACTGAAACGATAGTAAAGCCATTCTTGTGATTTACCCATTTTCATATCTAGTAATGACTTCTTAGTTGTTTATTTATGGGTTGTTATTTGGCTATACTAATGCAAATGATATCGATGGTGGTACAATGTGACATGACCTAATGAATTAGAAATGTTAAATCCACTCACAAATGCTACGGAACATATGGGTTACTAGTTATCTATATAATGCAATGTCTTGTCTTGTCACGTGACATTATCAATTATGTTGAAACGCAATTGCTAGAATCCACGTGGACGTGGTTTTCGGCAACATCTGACTCGTGATCTATTTAGATATACATAAATACACAATTGCATTGATAAAGTAACACATACTCTGTAGTGTGACAGTTACATTGAACAAAAGCCACCACCATATAACAAGCTAGTTGGGTAATTGGCAATCAAATTTGAAAATAAATCATTCTGATTTGTGGGTAGAAAATGTTAATTAATGTCTACAGCTCCACATATGATGTAATAAAATATTCTATATACTTAGGCTATCCCACCGAGAAATCGAGCACACCTCATACACGACGCCCTCGTCCTAGGCCAAGCTCAACAACTGGATCACGTTGTAGCCATGGAGACCATTCAGTATTTGTTTCTTGAGACTGAGTATATCCCATGGCATGCATATGAAGATGAGCAATTGTACACAATGTATATGTTATGGAGAACGTCTACTTATGGAATGTATCAGGTTGGTAGTAATACACTCTAAATTTGTTTGTCGACAGTTTGACGATTCCGTTGGATATTATTATTCAGACAATTTTGTGTGATGTTCTGGCATAACTTCCTGTTATCAGATATTATGCGTCACATTTTTCAATTGAAGTATTTTTCCTTTACTCCAGAATTACATTAGTGATCTAGTGAGTCCAAACTATGCTTCACTAGGATGGGATTTTGACTACACGGAGGACGTTGATTAGTGAGTACGAAATGGATCACTTAAATTACTAAATTGTGTGTATTTTCAGTTGCTTTACTGTCGCGTGTGTATGTCCAGTTTACTCTGAGCAAGTCTCGTTGTCTTGTTGACGAACTACACCCGTTTCTAGCGTTGTATCGCATAGTCATTAATACAATTATTTGCTTCCTTTTTGTAAGTTATCGACGTTTAGATACTCTGAGGATAGCATGTGATTATAATCACGTCGACTGCGTTGCCAATGCTACAAATCAGTACGCTGCATGGATGGCTGACCCAGACAACAACAAGTCAGTACAAACTTTCCACTAATACGTGTTAAGATGAAATCAGTTTTCTGTTTGTGGTTATCAAAGAATAGAAATTAATGCATACATTTTTTCATTCAGAATTGAAGTGAACATGCGCAGTACCGTCTACTGTACAGCCATTCGTGCTGGTGGAGAAACCGAGTGGAACTTTGCTTACAACCGACAGAAAACAGACTTAGAAGAACGAAGCAGATTACGTTCAGCCATGGCCTGTACACAACTAGATTATTTACTTCTGGGGTGAGTTGTCTATTGGATAGAGTGACGATAAGTATTATTTCCAAAGCTCTGGACACATGGTAATATTAACAATATTTTGATAAGATGTGATTTCTCTGTAACAGGTACATGGAGGAGTCTCTAGCAGGTATAGAGTTCAATGCACGAACTACAATTGGATATGTACGAGATAATTCGGCGTTGGGATTTAGCATATCGTGGACTTTTACAGTTGAAAACTTTGTAGCGTTAGAAGGATTGTAAGTTGCATTCTATAGTATGGTATGAGATGTTAAATATTGTATAAATATAATTACTGCTGTCTATTTGCTTAATAGTTTTCTATCATCTGTAATTAAATAATGTATTCATTTACAATTTAATTGAATGTGTGTGGGTTTTTTTTCAATTTTAGATACGGCAACACCGCGTACAATATAGTATGGGCATTTGCAGATATAATGAACACTAACAAAGATCTGTTGGAGGTAAAATAAGTGATATTTAATATTGAAATATTTACTATAAATGAGTTGTTTGAATATGGCACACAGAGAAATTCGCTAATTCTGTTCTAAACGTTTTGTATTTCGGCATTCCAATGGTGTATCCTTTGAAGGAAAAGAAAATAATAAGGTTGTTACGAGGATACCTCAAATTATGCACTCAGACAGTACACCAACCGCTGCGCGTCGGTCGATACTCCCGCTGTACTGTATTTGTGCATACTTTGAGGTATCCTCGTAATAACATCATAGTATAAATTCATTTGTGCGTATTGTTCTAATGAATACACCATTTGGACATTATTACTCGTCTATTTAGACAGACTTACTCGCAATATTAGTTGGTATTATAATTCAATCCAGTCATTTTATTTCATTCACAGTGTATTGCATTTTCGGAAATATTTGATTTATTGTTCGTGATTAGAATATTACCGTTCTCTATTTACATATTATGTATATTTCATCTCATTGTAGTTAAATGCCTTCGGTGATCTATATAGCAATATGCCAGATGTCAACGATTTCAACGATGCTGTTAAACGAGTTGAACTAAATATAGGCTGGATGAATAGAAATGAGGCAGACATCGATGCATTCCTGGGATCATTATAAAATATGTTATATGACCAAAATAATAAAATAAAAGTGTAAGAATAAATATGACACTTGTCAATGTAGTGTATTTGTTTGTGTAAAGAGGAGTGGCAGATAATGTAACCGAGTGAAACTATGATGTGCATAATAGTATCATTGCTACTCGTATGCGGTAACTACGTTAGTTCCAGTCAGTGTGTTTAATACCAACACTTGAATTGTTTATAAATACTCCGTTCATGATTTGGTTCAAATATTTGGATTTTTTATTTGAAAAAGCGATTGATCTGGTTTTTTTAATCTAAAGCGCCCAAATGTTCATATACAAAAGGGGAGAGAGAATTTAAATCTGAAGCGGGAAAATGTATTTCACTGGTGCTAAAAAAACGCAGGTCGAATGTGGAAGCCAACCCATCGATCTACCCTAGTTACTGGTGTTGTAAGCAACTACTGTTTACTATTCATCTCGTCAAAACTCATCAATAATTTGTAAATCTTAATAACAATCATAACCCCGTGCTATCAAGCAAACTATGCATCGTTCAGTTATTGCTTGTAGTAATTTGTGAATCATAGATTACATGTTTGAACGATCACAATATAATCAGTTCTCTCTTGCAAATCCTGTATTGAGACTGACTGTGACGACGCTACACTGTGTCGACGCTACACTGTGACAACGAGACACAAAACTGCAACACACGAAGCCAAACTTTGAAGTAATAACATATACACTGAAAGATATCATCAAAACAAAGGTACGATGCAGTACATCTTGCAATTGTAAATTTCTTTAAGTTGAAGAACGAAGCTTAAACAATCGTAACAAACTGCCGAGGCGTACAGCTACGTGGCGCGCCAATAGCTGCGGCCTAGCTATTCATTCATAATTGACTTGAGTCTATGTAGGTATGATATAGGATATGAACAAAATAGTTGGCTCGCACCTGGAAACACGAATAATTTGACTCTATTTTCATGAAACTTCCAAGTAACTGTTCAAAAGTGAAGTAAATATGACAAATATCCATGCTATTACGTACACGATGATACGTACAGTTCTTTCAACTTGAGAAATACGTGAAGGTAATTATCAAACACACTAGAATAAACAAATTGAGAAATTCTATAATTCTATATTTCTATAGCGTATTTGAGTAACACTAGAAATGTTCAATTTTGCACTTGTTTCAAAATATATAGAAGGATATCAATATCATTTATCAAGCCCATGCAGAAATGTTTAAAATTTGAAATGGAGACTGAATTACTTAAGGATCGTAAAAAATGTATCATATATAAATAACACCACAGGAATTAAAACAACATAAAGAAAACTGTAAGAATCGAGTGATACAGAGGCGTGTTTGAATACTAGTATTGCTTATTAACATCTGCACTCATATAAGGTACTACTAATGCATGATATTCCGTGTTTACGTATCTCAGACTTGCAATTCGTGTTATATAAAATGGCGGAATCAAAAATTAATTTTAAAAAATACAGCGCATCTGCAGATTATTATCACACATTTGACACATATACTAACGCATCCTAACTGTGGGACAACAACGCGTGTTTGTGACAAGGTGGCACGTGAGTACTGCCCTATATAATGCATGAGGATGGGCAGCTTCAATCTAAGGCATCAGATTTCGTACACTACCAGTGGCATCTCAGCAACAACGCGCTTACATGATGTCACCCGACAAAATGGTCGGCGGTCGCGACAAAGGTAGAACAACACGAAACGAAATAATACAAGTGACGTTGAGTCTTCTTCTGCTTGTGTATTGTATCCCAGAAAGCAAGTGCGACTATGTTAATAATTTTGGTAGCAGCGACCAGATGCCATGGCTATTTGATGAACAGATGCCCGTTGTCGACGAAGTATATGGAGGACTACTCCCCACGACGTTAGAGCCGTACCATTACAAGGTGTGGCTTCAACCGTATCTCACGGAAGCAAAAGACGGCGACAAGTTCTTAGATCTAGACGGTAAAGTCGATATGTATTTTTATTGTCTAGAGGATACCTTCAACATTACATTTCACATCAATCAGATGACGATTTCAAAATACGAACTTTATGACATCAGTGGTGAAGTGGAAAAACTCCTTCCGACAGCCGGTAACGCTAGCAACACTGAGTGGGATTGGTACACAGTAACCTCGATGGGTTCCCTTCAAGCTGGAATCAATTATCGCTTATATATAGAATATGTCGCCACCTTGGATCATCCTAACAATGGTTTCTACTATGGTACATATGTAGAAAACTCTATTATTAAGTAAGTATCAAACACTCACTGGCAGACATCTGAAAATCAAAACGTCTCAAAACGATGAATTATGTAAGACATATTAGAACGCTCGCAATATATTTAACGTAATACCTATTATTATACACCTGTCCCCGTAATGACATAAGTTACAGCGTGCCGTAATTTGCAGTATTTTACGGTGTATTTCCATGTACCATATTAGGAAACGCGAATTACGCGCGTAAGCGTCCTCAAATAATAAACAACAACGATGGTTCCCCCGGGTTTGACCGGACCCACACAAAGAAGTTCGCTAAATATGTTCTAAATGTTTTCGATTTCGGCATTCCCATGATGTATTCTTTGGATGAAAAGATGAGTATAATAATAAAGTTATTACGAGGAAACTGCAAAGTATACACGAAGACAGTACAGCGCAGCGTACTGTCTGAAGGGAAATGGTGATATTAACAGCGACAATTCATTTTTACAAAACCAAATGTATTCTCACTCTATTGCCACGTCTATCCTGGCAATGTATCCTGGTTACAAATCTGTTTTAACTTTTCAAATATATTTTTTACATCAACTAGTCTATGGAAATACAAATAGTTATGGCTTCTTCAATAATCACGTTATTAACGACTACAGTATGTTTTGTGTTTGTTTTGTCGTGTTTTTTTATATTGGTAAGTAGGATATATAATTTTGAGCGTAGAAAATTTTTAATACTATAAATTCCCGTATTGCAATATTGCGGACAAAAACACAGCTTGCATAATTCGCAAGCTCGAATGATATACTATTAGATAACCCGCTACACACGATAATAATGATACATTTGGGTGCCAATCACCAAAGTGAGAATCCCTTTACTTGTCTTAATAATAGGGAGCTTAGCAAAGCGATAACCAGTATGACCTCGGCCCAGTTAAAATTGCCATCTATTCATGCATGATGTGCCCATTCTAATTAAATCAACTCCTGTCAGAGTGTGCTAAATCTTTATGTTGACCGATATATATTAATAACGACAGTTGATGTCTGATAAAGATAAATTCCAGTATGCACTCGGCTTATTTTCCTAAAACATAAAACATAAAATTAGTTCATTTTATTTTATGTTGGACATGATCATGGTATAGATACTAATTATTTTATTACAGAGAATTTGTTGGCACTCAGTTTGAATCAACCGACGCCCGAAAAGCATTCCCTTGCTTTGATGAGCCAGCTTATAAGGCAACATTCGACACCGCGTTGGTGTACAGACCGGAATACGTGGCACTGGCTAACACAGAATCTATTTTAAATGACACCTACTATGATCCGAACACCGATGAAGTGTGGAGTGTTACCTACTTTGCTACAACCGTCAAAATGTCCACTTATCTGAACGCCTACACTGTTGGTGACTGGGCATGTGTAGAAAATACTTCACGTAATGGGATTAAGGTACAAAAATTTTTTATCTTGTGCATTGCATATGACATCAGATAATATTTTGAAATATTTATTTTCTTTTATTATATATTTTTTTTTTATTTTATTTTATCAGTTCCGTGTATGGTGCCAGCCCTCATTGCTTTATCAGGCGGAATACGCATTGAACGTGGGAATGACACAACTTAGCAATTTTGAAGATCTTTGGAATATTCCATATCCTATGACGAAAATGGGTAAGAAAATTGTTGAATATACACGTTCGAATGAACATGAAACAGAATTATACTGATCTAAAGTATTCAAATAATATGTGTCATTAACTTGAAACACGGTATCCTTACTCGCACAACTTGGCAAATTGTACAACGCTCGAATTAACATAAATAGGAAATGATATTCATCCTCAGCAGAAACGTTATCACGAGAATAAACACGTAGATCGACAACGCTAAATATTAAGCTTATGAAATGAAATACAAAATTGAATAAAAAAAGATTTCGTTCAAGAGCATTGTGTCTCACTACTATAATTACTGATGTAATATTTTATCATCTAAGGTGTCATGTAATACTTAATAGTAATAAACATGAACAGTACATTAAAGTACTAAAATGTCTTTTTTCGAAATATCATTTTAACAAATATGAAGAATTGTCCCTGACTCCAAAACCACAATGCTAATTTTATTTATAATTACAATTTAAAACAATAGTTAACTTTTGGGACAATAACATTTAATCAGGCCACTCGACATACACCTTCTGGTCTTAAGATCATTTATGTCATTTAATCAGTCATAAAATGCGTACAGCAAGTAGTTGTGTACTGTTCAACATGTTGTATCCTTTGAGATTCATTGGATGAATTGTGATTGATATATGACATGTCCTGTCATCATCTAATGTTATCTTATTGAATATATAATAATAATGGCAAACACTGTGATTTGACAAGTGACAAATGTTTTAGAGTGAGTCATTTGTATAGTAACTTATTTGTTTTTGTAGATATGTCTGCATTACCAGTATTTTCAGCTGGTGCAATGGAAAACTGGGGTTTGGTCTTTTACCAGGAAGGAGGTTTACTATACAGTCTTGAAGCAGGGCACACACCATCCCAAAGGAAGGGCGTGGCACAACTAATTGCCCATGAACTCATTCACCAGGTAACAAATTCAGCAGTGTAAATATAAAATTTAAGTTAATGCCATGTACATATTAATTATTTATCGATTGTTTTGTTTTAGTGGTTTGGTAATTGGGTCACAATGGAGTGGTGGAGTCATCTGTGGCTGAATGAAGGATTTGCCACTTATTTTGAATACTTAGGCACACAGTGGGTGGAACCTGGCTTCGAAATGGTAAGGTGTGAAATTTCTTATTCTGACATAGTTAGATATTTCCTTTATATTTGACTACGCTTCCCCATGTCAAAATAATTCTTGGTTTGTTTGGCAGTACGAGCAATTCTTTCAGAGGGAACCGCAATATAGCACATTTGCAAGAGACCAACAGGGTGATTCTCATCCAGTGATAAAGGACGTTGGGACTGGTAGTATGTTTAATACTATTACATATAACAAGGTGAGTGAACGCTGTTGTCAATTAGCACTGTGTATTGTAATTGCACTGTGAAGGAATAAGTAATCTTATATGCCATAATACTACATAATCTATATAATAGGGAGGATCCGTAATCAAGATAATGGATGGATTCCTGGGAGTTGATCTGTTGTTTGAAGGTTTCCGTGTTTACCTAAATCGATTCGCCTACGACAACGCCCTCTCTGATGATTTGTGGGCAGTCCTAACGGAGGTAAGCAAACATGGATATTCGAATCGTCATTTATTACATGCGACAATTATTACATACGAAACACTAAACCATAAACGGTTTATTCATTCCGCCGTCAGGTAGTAGAACTTGATATGGGAGGAAACATGAAAGATATTTTCGGATATAATATGAAAGAACTTATGGATCCATGGACTTTACAAATGGGATTCCCCGTTGTGAATCTCACTCGAACATCGACCACTGCTATACAAGCCGATCAAGGACACTTCTTGTTAGACCCACACGATGTAGTTGAGGATGAAGAATATGGGAATATGGGGTAAGAAATGCCGAATTTTGTCTAGTGCCAGTGTTATGTTGGGCAACTGCAACATATGTGTTAAACGTCATCAAAGATGCAGTGCAAAACGAACTCATAGCGTCTCTTACTGTATCCCCCTGAGCGCCAAGATTGACGTTTGTCATTTTTTTTTTTGCAATATCTTCATACTTTTTTTCCAAATTTGCTCAATAGTTTCGAACAAAAATCTGTAACCAGTTAGACAAATATGAATATCTTAACACATTGGAAATGACATGTCTTAAATATTGCACCAATATTTTGACAGAATTAGTTACGGTTTTTGAATGTTAATTAGTATTTGTTACAGTCAACATCAATTGCTTGCACACATCTCTACACAAATATATAAATGTACATGTAATTGTATTTTTGTCTGTTTGATTATGCCAAACATATCAACTGGAAGCAAACCGAGTACACTGATAGCCTGAATAAATATAAGTTCGTGAGGGATTAAAACCCAGTAATCATGTAGTAATTATGTAGGAACGTTTTCCAGGGACTATTTATTCGTTTTCTATTGTTGTTGCTGCATCTTTAATGCTACGATATTTTGGTTGCTTTATGAAAACCCCACTTCAAATTTGTTGCTCAGTTTCATGCACAAACAAATCATGATATGTATTCAGTTGATTGTTGATTATTTTTATTTTGTGTCAACACAGGTATGTATGGCATGTTCCATTAACTTTCACTCATCAAGGGGAACAATCGTTTCACAATCCAAATACAGAATGGCTTCACCTGACTTCCGGTGAGTACGGGCTGGTATTGGGACTGATGTGACGTCATTAAGATATACAGTTATGCGTGTCAGAATCGCACTGCCTGGAGTGTGCAAGTCTGCTACCTCCACATCCAAATCGTAATGTCCATCAAATTGTTTGTGTGGCGAAATCACTGAATATACAAAACGACTTTTACTTAATACAGGGACATTTAATATATGTCGTCTATAAAATAGCATAAACGAAAGCAATTGCAACTGATTACATTTCTGAGGATAATTATCTTGAATGATTGCTGATACTTAATGTAAATAAATTGAATAGCTACAAAACAATTAGCATATTTAATATATACGATTTATTTGATTTCTAAATATACATATGAATGATACGATTTCCTCTAAAAATTTAGCGGTGCTGACATTGGATGGCGCCACAGATAATGATTGGTATATTGCTAATATCAACCAGACTGCTCTGATACGGGTTAACTATGATTTAGACAATTGGGGAAAACTCGCGCAACAATTATTAGTCGACTATAAGGTAAATTATTAATATATTATTTATATATTGGTTGTTGGTGCCAAAGTATCTTGTGTCACCTAGTTATACGTTCAGAGGATGTCAATAATGTGCGTCACATCACTGGGGTCGTTATTAAGCAATTATTATGTTTAAAATGAATACATACAGAAAACTCTAAAGGAAATAACAAAATAGAACATTGCTAAAAAATAGTCAGGGCCATCACATGGAATTATTGAATGTTTATGCACTGAATGGAAATACAAATATATGTATTAGAAATATCCAACCAACTTACACATAATATGGAACATGGCTTTGTTATTCACTTATTGTTATGGAATGTCTTGTCCTGTGACCTGATTAAATATATAGCATCGCAATTACCACATAGGTGTGGTGATTAGGGCAACATGGCAACTAGCACGTGATCTAATTAGATTTACATAAATATAATATTATATTGATAGAGTGCCACATGCTGTGTCATGTAACAGATAAAACTGGGTCCACCGCTGGTAATTGCCATTGTTAATTGCTGTACAGATTATAACATTTTATATAATAACATATTCTATATACTTAGGCTATCCCACCGAGAAATCGAGCACACCTCATACATGACGCCCTCGTTCTAGGCCAAGCTCAGCAATTGGATCACGTTGTAGCCATGGAGACCATTCAGTATTTGTTCTATGAGACTGACTATATTCCATGGCATGCATATGAAGATGAGCAATTGTACACAATGTATATGTTATGGAGAACGTCTACTTATGGAATGTATCAGGTTGGTAGTATTACACTTTAAACTTCTGCATAGACAGTTTGGTGACTTCGTTTGATTTTATTATTCAGACAATTTTTATGTGATATGTTCTGGCATAACTTCCTGTTATCAGATATTATGTGTAACACTTTTAAGTTGAACTAACTTTTTTTCAGAATTACATTAGTGATTTAGTGAGCCCAAACTATGCTTCACTGGGATGGGATTTTGACTACACGGAAGACGTTGATTAGTAAGTACGAAATGGATCACTTTACTAAATTGTATATATTTCCAGTTGTTTACCGTCGCGTGTGTATTTCCAGTTTATGTTGATGAGCTAACAACCCTCGTGTCTAACGTTGTATCGCTTAGTCATTAACAAAACTATTCGCTTCCTCTTTGTAAGTTATCGACGTTTAGATACCCTGAGGATAGCATGTGATTATAATCACGTAGACTGCGTTGCCAATGCCACAAATCAGTACTCTGCATGGATGGCTGACCCAGACAACAACAAGTCAGTACAAACTTTCCTTTAATACGTGTTAAGGTGAAATCAGTTTTCTATTGTGGTTATTAACGACTAGAAAATAATGCATACATTTATTTTTTAATTTAGAATTGAAGTGAACATGCGCAGTACCGTCTACTGTACAGCCATTCGTGCTGGTGGAGAAACCGAGTGGAACTTTGCTTATAACCGACAGAAAACAGACTTAGAAGAACGAAGCAGATTACGTTCAGCCATGGCCTGTACACAGCTAGATTATTTACTTCTAGGGTGAGTTGTCTAGAGTGGTGATAAGTATCATTTTCAAAGCACCTTGATAGTTCTCGACTCAAATGAATAGTTGATAAGATGTTATTCTCTGTAACAGGTACATGGAGGAGTCTCTAGCAGGTATAGAGTTCAATGCACGAACTACAATTGGATATGTACGAGAGAATTCGGCGTTGGGATTTAGCATATCATGGACTTTTACGGTTGAAAACTTTGTAGCGTTAGAAGGATTGTAAGTGTACATTCTATAGTATGGTATAAATTGGTAACGAATATAATTACCGCTTTATAATAATAATATCTTCGACGAAAATGGCGAGCTTAGTAAGAAAATAGCTCTTGATTGATTTTGAACTATGTGAATTGGTATACAAATTCCTATTCAATTTGAAATTGATTTAATGTGTTTATCTGCTTATAGTGGATATGACATGTCGCCATTTGTAGGGTTATATGTATGTGTTCATCTATAATTCAATAATTGATTCACTTTTTTTTCAATTTTAGATATGGCAACACCGCGTACAATATAGTATGGGCATTTGCAGATATAATGAACACTAACAAAGATCTGTTGGAGGTAAAATATGTGATATTTAATATTGAAATATGTTATTCCAATATTTATTTTGTTTGATTTGCAGTATACTGCATTTTGGGAATAATATATGAATCGTTCGTAGGAAAAGTTTTATGAATGAAATATTACCATTCTCTATTTACATATTATGTGTATTTCATCTCATTGTAGTTGAATGCCTTTTGGGATCTATATAACAATATTCCAGATGTCAACGATTTCAACGATGCTGTTAAACGAGTAGAACTAAATATAGGCTGGATGAATAGAAATGAGGCCGACATCGATGCATTCCTGGGATTATTATAAAATATGTAATACATTTAACGTATGTCACAATAAAATAAAATAAAATGTAATAATACATATATAAGACTGGTCGGTGTAGTATATGAAACGAGAGATGAAGTGAAACTGTGGTGCTCATGTTAGTACTATTGTTATTTGAGACTTGGAATGCATGATATGGGAGGTGACCACATAACTTCAAAGCAATGTGTTCAATACAAACACTTGTATTATTATAAACAATTATATAAATACTTTGTTGATAATTTGGTTCAAATTTGATCACACATCTTCCTTGCATAGAGAAAATCATTGTCAGTAGATTCACCATTTTTCATAAAACCCTTTTTTCTCATGCATGATGTTTTTTAAAACAGTGACCAATGAATTACAATACTGTAAGCGACAAACTAAAAAACGAACGTTTCATGAAAGACAATTATTTGTTTGTATACAAACACTAACCACAATCAACAATTAATATTTGTTTAGGGTAGTGTCATATCGCTCATACGGACATCCACCATAGGCGTTGTCAGGATTCCCATGAGTGACGCTGGTATCATACCACCCCTTAGTTTAATGTCCACATTATGTACTGAAAGTATGGTAAATCCAAGTCAAATGAAAATAAACTTTCATTTGATTTCTATTTGGTATGCAATTACAGTTGATAGCAATTATTCAGTGCAAATATTCCCTATATCGCAGTATCCAATAGTTCAACATTTCACTAAATAAGTTTATTGCAGAAAAAAATAACTATAGACAATTTAAAAGAAAAGAATTACACATAATAAATCCTCTTACACCGCAGAATTTAACATAATTGAACAGCTGTGACAAGCAGATTGTTAGACAGGTGTAACCTGAGAGAAAAAATAAAATTGAACTATTGTTCTGTATCCCGATATGTATCAAAGCAAATATTTGCAAATCTATCTGTGGAAAAATTACACCATATGTAAATGTCACAACAAATAAATGACACTAAGACCGTGTACGAAAAATAACGAATAATTGCAATAGATGAGTTTTGACATCATATATTACTTGTCAAGTACTTCTATTATTTGAATTAATTAATACTTCTGTAATCGGGATGATTTATCATACAGAATGTCGATTTAGTCACTGTAAATCCGCGTTCAATATACACTAGTTGTAACCGTCTTGTTTTGTTCTCTATCTTACTGGTCCTTTTCATGTTTTTAAATCCCGGGAAATTTTCACCATTATTTAATTAGATAAAAAAGTCTTTTCATGGTATCAACAATAGACAAATTATTTAGTTTCAAGCGTAGTACGAGTTTCCTGTCGTCTTTCATTTTACAAAAGCAAAGAAATAAACGCTAGGTTGGGTTGAGTAGTGTAACAATCTTGGGAGTATGACAATATGCGTGATATATCAATCTAGTAAGTTGATATAAAACCGTTGTATGTCTGGCACGTGTTCGCAAGATGCACTGAAATGTATATTACTGCGAAACGTAGATTTTATCAACATAATATTGTATGTATGATCATTCATCATCTAAGAATTGATTCGTTTTTACACTCAACTATCAATTGATTTCACAATCTTTGATTATGCATATTCAACTAATTTTGATTGATTGAATCGTACAATATTTATGTACATTCATTTGTTTTAATAAATTGACTGCCATAAGAAAAAATAACAGAGCGTACCACGACTTAAAACTAATCCACATTTAACATTAAAAATCGGTACCATAGAGTAGAACAAAATGGTTGATTTCACGATCATTATATGCTATTTATGAATAATCTTAATGTGATACCAATGGTTAACTGATCACAGTGTGTTGTGAACTAGTCACAGTAAGATTAACTGGCGTGGTTAACTGGTTGTAGTATGGTTAATCGGTTACAGTATATTGTAAACTGGTTACACACAGGAGCTGCTCACTGTATATAGTAAACTGATCACAGGTAAAATGATTAACTTGTCACAGTTAGAATGTTACAACACTGTTAGCATGTCGCTTTCTACAACTGTTTTCAGATATTAAAATTATGCATATTAATGAAATCGCATGACCATATATGGTTATATTATGGTATCTGTTTTTTTTATAAATCTAGTTTCCAATGGCTTCATATTGTATCACTGTTAGTATGTCCTTATCTTCACCAGTATTTTAAATATTACATTCTGCATATTAATGAAGTGACATGACCATGTATATAACTAAATGCATACCCATGATGCAATAGTGGCTAAGATATTACAGGTGCGCATATTAATAAGGTCACATGGCCATATATGTTCACCTGATTTGTTTGTCATCTATTTTGTCTGCTACCTTCATCACACCATTGGCAGCATGTCTATCTGCAACAATACTGGACATGTTACAGTTACTTAACGTGGTCAAATGACCATTTATATGTTAGTAGTAGATTTTCAATATTGCACTGGCTATAATGTCCGTATGTCACGCGACCGGTTTTTTTTCGGGGATATTATGTAATTTGGCATTCCAAGACCCCAGAAAGTGACACTTTCGGGTTTTAGAAAATCCAAGATGGCGGCACAATTACGTCATATATCCGAAATCTGACAACTTTTTAGAGAACTGCATATAGAATGTGTCTGTAAATTTTGAATAGTTTTTGCAGGCCTAATAAAGATGATCAGAACAACTTGTAAGGAAGGGAGATATCGTCCGTTGGTGGCGCACTTTCCAAGCTTAATAAATGTAATATCAAATTACTTTGAAAGTATATTTCTGTTTCTGACAAACATTGTGACGGCTTATGCATTACCGTATTTGCCTGTATCTAAACTTCTAAGTGATTTATTAAGTGTTATAGTAGGCTGGTTAGTGCTTTTAGAGAATCTCTGAATCACACATTAAATTTTAACACATTTCCCCCCCCCCCCCCGTGGTGACCATTCATAAAAATGTAACCGTGGAGGCTCCCTAATGTGCATATATAATTAATATCAATTATAAAATCGTTTACGTTTACGTTAACTACAAACTTCAAGTGTTAGGTAAACAAATATTATACAAAGCGTGAATGAGTACACGTGTGCGTTAAGCTTTGGGAATTTTTAGTCATTACTCCCATACATTTTGCACATTGAAATTTTGGCAGAGTTACATATTGATACATAATGGTCAGCTCGTTAAACCATACAGACTAAATGTCAATAACCGATATCGTGTTTCAGATTGGCAGCGTCAGATCGCTATCAGCTTCGAATTCAGCCTTTGTCTCTGTAGCTTCGTCTTAGCACTGTAAAAAGTGGTCAATGTTTCATAATCGATGTCACGTAATCTAGCTACAATTCCTAGAACACTTCACCAGAGCAAGGAGATTCGACTTGAAGCAGGGGACATAGTGTAGATGATGTCCGATATATGAGCATTGTAGTTGGTCGAGAAGCACTAGGTGTATTTTATTGAAAGTGTGTGTATAATGCATCAAATTAAATTTTATCATAATCAGTATTTTATTTCACAACTCCAATAATACTTTAGACACACCTTCTTGCTATCAAATGTATTGCATGGATTCAAAGAATAAACGAATTTCGTCCATATTCCTGTCGACCCATAGAATATTGGTTTCAACGCGTTCAATTGCTCTGTTGAATTCCATGGCTGCTTCGATCGGCATATCGCTATAAAGATCCCCAAACGCTTTGAGCTACAAGGAAAGGAAATGATGAAACGTAATTGAATATAGAATGCTAACTATGTTAAATACCTCCAACAAATCATGCATAAATTGTAACGCATGTTTGTGTTGCCAATCTTAGACAAAATATACCGCTACAACAGCGTAATGTCGACTTTGCCTTTACTTCCAGTGCTAAATACTCCGCATGGCAGTTTTAACAGTATACCGCATAAGGAAATCAATTGGTTTGCGTAAGTCTACAAGGAAATAACTACTTGCAGGAAAAAAAATTATTAACAAGGCAATTCCTGACATGAATAATCCTATTATGCTCTATGTTTGTCTAAAAGCGGAATTTGTAATAACAAACACGGTCAGTTGAAAGTTAGACCTAACAATATCACGAATATGTTACAATATACGCCAATATCCCAAATACGAATAACAGTGAAAACAGTGTGTGTGAAAATAATGGGAATGAGTTTAATAGATCCCATATAAGGTGTTGTTACAATAGTGTCAATAGGTAATAAGCTAATAATTCACCTAGTCATTTTATTCTAACGCTAAGTGCGCCCTCTAACATTACCATTTTTGTATATTGCTCGATAAAATACTTTGCCATAGAGGGCACACGACCCCTAAATGACATACCTCAATCAGATCTTTATTTGTGTTCATTTTATCAGCGAATGCCCATACTATGTCGTATGCACTATCACCATATCTAAAAACAAATATATAAGAATGGATCACACACTCTTGACATCGTCTCTGCAATTTACACTCACTAGCATACTCTAATGTCGACACTATATCCAGCTCTCATATAAAAAAATGTGATCTAATCACCTCAAAATGAAAAGATGTTATTGTTTGATGACATAATTTATGCATTTGCGTGGAGTTTACATAATGAATACGTCATTCAACAAAAGTGTACATACATTGTGCAATACACCACACCAGTGTGTATTTATATGCCTTTCTACTGAACATCGATCCACCGATTAAAACAAAACGTGTCTTATATATTAGATAAAGTTTTTAGAATGGAAGAAATAATTGCTGAAAAGCGAAGAGAATAATTGCTTTGAATGTAAGAGCCAACAAATATGGGTCTCAAATAAATAAACTAATAAATAAATCCATGATTCAATGTATTGAAAAACTTACATTTCCTTCAAAGCTTCGAAATTTTGAACTGTAAAATCCCATGCTAGGCCAAAGCCTAAGGCTGAGTTATCCTGTACGTATCTGATAGTCACTCGAGCATCAAAATCTTTTCCTCTTAGGGCCTCCTCCATATACCTAAATGTTGTAAATGATGAGTAACAAAACGTGTATGACTTTTTAAATATAACTAAATATGTCATTGTATTCAGATTCAATGACTCTGTATACATGATTCAATGAGCGGGAGAAATATACATGAACTTCAAAACATAGAGCCAGGGAGTTACGACATACCTTTCAAAATGAGAAATTCATAATAGGTTAATAATATAATTTCGTTTGTAACATGTACGTTCAATAAACCGGCCATCTTCGCTAGTCAATGGCTAAGTTTATTCGGCCAAGCCTCTAAACAGACCTTGGCAGAACGACTATCAAATATGCGTATTTTAACAGCGCCCCCAGTAGTCAGTTGCGGCTAATCATTGTTCAATTAGTTTGCGTGTTACAAATCCCCCTTTGGCGTTTCATTTTAAACAAAATGGCGGCGCCCATGAATCGTGATACTTGTGATGATAAAATTGCGAAAGTGTTCGGTGTTGGTGCCTTCAAGCCTCATCAGGTACAGGCAATCGACGCAGTTTTGTGTGGGAAGGATGTCTTCATAGCGACAAAACAGGAAGTGGAATTTTGTTTTATAATTTGGTACGTCCAAGCTGATTGGGCGCCTTGTTTCGAGGTGCGCCCAATCAGATCTCACTGCTTAAGATACGCAATTTACCTATGCGATCCCGCACGGTATCGTGTAGAGGCCTATAGGTCGAAGACACGGGACCGTGCGATTCGGACGATGTATACCGGCTAATATTTCTACTTTTAAACAAATAACTGAAATTCCTGCTAATCCCTGGTCATTCAGGATAAATTGATGACATAAATTGGACACAAATACATAGAGAACTAGATTTATCGCAAGATTATCAAATCGTTCAACCAAAGAGTTATCTAAATATTAACTACTATTTCGCCTACTATCAAAGACTAAGCCCCAAAATACGGTGATGTCATTATTTCTAGACGTCATATAAATGAAACGCGGATAGTGGAAAATTAAAATGAACTTTTTGATACAACTGAATCAAGATTACGTTCAAATGCGACTTAATTTAAAACTTTTTCTTCCCTATATACTTTTATACAACATGATGAATTAAAGCATTTGGATAAAATGTTAATACATCTCCATCAACAATCCTTCTTATATTCCGTTTATATATCTAGTTGAACTTGAGACTACAAAATCTGCTTCTTCTGGTTCATACTAAGATCTATACCTTGAACTTGATTTTAAGGCCAGTTTTCTACGAGATTATATGACAAAGGAGGTGAATTTATATTCACTATCATCAATTTACCCCGCCATCCCAGCAGTATCCCACTCTCATCTATCTAATAAGTGGTATACACTCACGCGCTATGGCACGGACTTTTTTTTTCAAAAGACACGGTCTAGCCGTATCACTC